CAACTTTTGTCTGAAAAATTTTTCTCTCCCGGGCTTGATTTTTGAGATATTCGACTGGATGGATTAAAATGGTCCACCCTGTATATATATATATATATATATATATATATGAATTTATATAGATCTTTGTCATGCACGCACGCACGCACACAAATATTGTAAATGATATTTTATAATATATTGATAAATGTCTTATTGTAGATAGGACATGTCGGTGAATTACCTCAGATTCTAATAGAAGATTTTGAGACAAATGAAGACTTTCTGAAAAAGGCTCATCACATTCTGTTGGAAGTCGAAGTTATAAACGGAGATTTATTGTGTCCAGAATCTGGCAGAAAATTTCCCATCAACGATGGCATTCCAAACATGCTTTTAAATGAAGACGAAGTTTAAATAGAATCCATTTAAGAAGATTATTGTATCTTTAGTTATCCTACATCATTGTTCCATTAATTAGCTAGTTTTACGCATCTGTATTATGCGTATTATCATTAATTTTATTTTTTATATTGACAAATAGTTAATAAGGATACAAAGCTATTTATATTTAATGTATTATATAAATAGCACGTTAAGTTGTCGTGTATGTGCTTGCGTACGTGCAGATGTATGTGTGAAAATTTGGATATTCCCTTTTCGAATAATTTGGAAATATAATTAATTGGAACATCTAAAGAATAATTTTTTTTTTTTTTTATAATATAAATAAAATGATAATTTGTTCTATTTTTTAAATATAAATTTTTAAAAATTTATTTTTTATCCCAGACATGTACATATTATTAAATGAAGCTAAACAGATGTTATTTTTTAAAAAAAGTACAAAATAAATTTACAAGCAAAAAAAATTTCATCTAGAATAATTTATCTAGAATTAAAAAATCACAAAAATATAAGAAGTTTTATTACAAACAAAAAATTATGCTCACATACTTTATGTTTGTGGCACTTCATGCATTCTAAAGTTCTAAAATAAAAAAGAAAACGTAAAAATGGCTTTTAATAATTGTATCAGATGAAGAAAATTTGTCTTGTTTCATCGGCCTAATATATGTAATTTATAACTTAATATTCTTATCTCATAAATAGATTACTTAAATTAGATTGTCGCATGTATAATACGATTACAGATACTTTATTGCACAGATATGTCTAAAGACAATGAGATATAATTTCTTTTATCATCTGCAATACTTAACATAGAACATTTTTTATTTACATCACATTTATATATATATATATATATATATAAGTTTATTTATATATGAATATATATTATTATATAATATGTTTATTTAGATATGAATATATATTGTTATATAATATGAATATATATATTTATATAGCTTGATATAAATATATAACCATAAATTATTATATATTATAAGTCAATTATTAAATTATAAAAATTACTTCTATAAAAATTGTTCATATTATTTTGTTTAATTTAATATTTGTTCAAATTATATTGTTATAATATTCCCTGATGTTATTGCGCTTATAAATATAAGTTTGTTATATACTTTGGTAACATTTAAAATATATAATATTTATTATTTAGACCTTGATACTTAATTTTTATGGGAAACTTAATTTATTGAAAAGGAAAATATCATTTTTTTATTTACAAGAAGGAGAAATCAATTTTTGAAATAAATTAATTTTTAGAAATTTAAAATTAGGATTAAAATAATTATAATTTAATCAAACAAAAATATTAAAATAATGAATAAGTAAAGACATTGAGCTTACCTTTGAGAGCCCACATTTCTTCATTCTTCAGAGCATCGATGTACGTTGTAATATCTTTGCCGCATTGCACTCCGACAGGGTACTTTCCTTCGATCCAATTTTTTACTAAATTACGCGCACTAAAAATATCCAGCATCTCTGACAGGCTGGTCCAATTTTTTTCGATCACATTGGTCGTCGTTGGTAAGCTTCGTACTCGAAGGATCGGCTCCTCTGCGGCATTGCTCGGAGCATCGGTAGATACTTCTTCGGTGTATACACAGGTTGCAAACAATAGGAGCAAAGTTATACACGGTAGGTGCATTTTGCTCCGCATGTTTATCTCATAAATGTTCACAAGAAAGATGTATTTAACGTTTACAGAAAATTTGGGCGAGATTCACTGAATCCATATAATCGGCGATTTAGAAGGCTCCTTGGAATCGATTGTCAGGGTCAGCCTAAATTCTGTCTTTTTCCTGCAGTCGATCTTCTTGATTTGCCGACAGACAAAAAACTCACAAAACGGGTCGTTGAGTAAACAAAATAGCAATCTTCTGTCAGGATGCTCGTGACATTGCTAAAAATATCATCAATTCTTTATGAACTTGCGTATTTATAGTTATAATCTGCCGTTTTTCTGCATTTAAACAACAGTATCCTCGTTAATCACGTTACTCGTCGGCCCGAACAAGACTCCGTTATATTTGCATCTTTATTTCCGACTTGTCCGTCAGAGAATCCTGATGGTGCGATATTTTTAAGCTCATGGTAACTTCGAGACGAAGTCTACTTCGACACGTTTTGATGTCGTCGCGTCCGCCCTCGGGAAGAAAGGGAAGAGAATTAACGCGGTGAAGATGATCGGCTACGCGCGTTTTGAAAATGGTCCTTCTATCCTGCTGGATGACCACGGATCAACTGTATCGTACGAGTCGGTAGTGGTCCGACCAATGGTTCTGAAATGTTCTCGCGGTATTATAATGATGGTGGGGCGTAAGTCTGCCTGTGGAGTGAAAATCGAAAACCTTTAGAGTGGTCGGTGCGCGCGAGACGGTGCGAGCTCATCGACACGTGCTCGCGTGCGTTCTAGTCACTTAACGATCAGAAAGAGAGACTTTTTCTCAGTCAATTTAGACTAATTTTACGATTTTTTTCTTAGAGTAATTGAACAGCGTTACTAAGGAGTTTTTGTGTATGAATCTTTATTAAAAAAAAAAAATCGACACAGTTCTGATTAATTGAAGATAAGATTTCCTATGAGATAATCTACCATTAAAATTCATAATCTCACGGTTCAGATGTTCTATATGTGAAATTCAATTTAAATCTTTCGTTAAAATGCTGAAGAAGTCGACCAAAATTTTCTGTAATCACTGACAAAGTAATATTTTATCTTTCATGCAATCTCATCTGAAGATGGAATACTTAAAACTACTCGACTATTTCACCTTAAAACTTTCGCTTTGAAAGAAATTGCGAATTTATAATTTTTTTATTTAAAAATTATACATTCATATGAATGAAATTCGTTAATTAAAATGGTGTGTCATTACTACACGTTTAACCATAAGAGCGTTGCACAACTGTATATAATTCCGGTCTAGCATGTAGCGTTCTTTCCTTTCTTTTTTTCGTATCCGGAAAGGCAAATGATCTTCTTTTTTTATTCGACAATTTGTTAAAATTAATATCACATTATCAATTTAGATTAAAAACCTTGGATATATAAAAGCTGTCTCTTTTCAATAAATCAGTAAGTATCTACACATAATAGTGAAGCAAAGCAAAAGTTTCGTCATATTTTAGATTTTATTATGCTCAGACGACATGATGGCAACATTCCAAGCATTAAAAAAAAAGCGATAAAAAATGATATTTATTCACTAGCGTCGACCGGAGTTATTTTTAATTAACAGAATTCACGACAACTGGTTCTTGTTTGGTTCAATTAGCAATAAAGTAGCTACGGATGTTATAAATAATCTACAGAAAACGAGACGCAGCGTGGGCCATGCTAATGTTTTGGATTAAGAATTGCAAAACTTTCAGCGTCGCTTCGCATGACTTCGTGTCGAATTAATGACAGACTCTAGAAGTTTCACCGTGAAATTTCATACTATTAAAGGACGTCTTCTCTTTCTCTCTTATTAATTCTTTGACAAACTATTATTGGCCATTCAGTCATGCTGAAACTTCTTTTTTCTCTTACGGGGGCTCTTTGACGACGACTTGCTTGTCGCTCGTAATGTCGTAAATACAAGAAAAAAAAAGCAAAGTTTACGTTACGTTAAAAAAAAAATCATTGTTCCTCTTTAGGCATTAAAACATCATTACTGCAGGGCGTTTAGATGTTTGATCATCCATTTGCCGAAATAAACAGTTTCAAAAAATAACTTTCCATGCTTAATATCTCTGATAATTTTAAAATGCTTTCTACTTCATATTTCAATTTACAAATATGTTACATCAAGGCAGAAAACTTTTAACATTAAATAAAGAAGAAAAAAAAACAGAACAGAATATTAAAAGATAAAAAACCACGTAATATCTGCATGTATAATGGAGTATACTTTGCTTGTGCAAGCGATACGATTTGGAACTACACACACACTTTTAAAAAATCATTTTTACAACTTTGTTGTGCTTCATTCAGAATTTTTGAAAAATACATCACGTTACAAAATTTTAATATTTCTAACGTTTCCTAACATTATCCCTATAATTTTATTAAAATACTAAGTACAATTTTTTTTGTAAACAAATTATTTATATTTGATATTATGAAACAATACTTTTAATAACAATAACAAAAATATGCTTATAATAAAACATGTATATATTTTTAATATTATTATAGGATGTCTTTAAACTCAAACTGGTATCAATTGCAAATTGTTCTGAATCCTAAATCTCATTCTGGAAGATTACATCTTAGGAATTTTTGAGCATCTTTTGTAAAGAATTAAACAGAATAAAAAACATTAAGCAAAATAAACAATTTACTTCAATTCATATTTTTTTCAATGCCTCCGAAATCATTCAAAATCAGACTATGTATTAGGCATTTTCGACTCGTTTTCATCTACTAAAGCCATTTGCACCAGTTTTGGCATTGAGTTCAGAGACACTCTGTATATATATATGAACAAGCACAGTATAATTTTTGTGATTTTCATTAACAAAGTAGTTTTCGACTATATAGAGAAGTTTCAATCTATGATGCGTTATACATATAGGTTTAATTAACACTTTCTAACAGAACGGTTTTAAGGACAAGAGTTAAAGTTTAAAGATAATCAAAGTAATCTATGCTTCTACAGAAAACCCATCAATTATCTTAGGTTTTCTCAATGGCCTGTCAAATGCTTCTTTGATATCACATGTTCATTTTGTATATTTCTTTAAAAAATATATATCAATATGTATAAAAAAATGCGTATATATTGTGTTTATGTTTTGTCTCAGTTGCATAATATTTGTATTCTGTTGTATATATATATATATATATATATATATCTGTTATCAATACGTGATAAAGAAAGGATAACTTTCCTAGATAAATAAGTCAGTCAAATGTAAAATAACAATCACATATCTTGAATCACCTTTGTTTCAACATTTTGTGTGGACGTTTTGCAACATTCCCTACATTTTATATTACTTTCCGATTATGCTTGAATGATATTATACTATTAAATATTGAATATATACTTAAGTATATAATTAAAAATATATCTTAAATGTATATTCAATGTTTTATGATTTAATAAATCATCAAATTTATAATTCATAAGACTTACTCATTTATAATGAATCATAAAACTTAATACATTCCTCCCGTAACTTCAATAGATGCTCCGTTTACATAAGAACTCTTATCAGAAGCTAAAAATGCAATGACCTCTGCCACTTCTTGTGGCTTTCCAAGTCTTTGCAACGGTATATTTTTTATAAAATATTCTTTAACTTTATCAGGTACAGTTGCAGTTATAGGAGTGTCTATAAAACCAGGCTGTACTGCATTCACCCGAATTCCAAACCTGTAAAAAATATATTTATCTTCGTTAGGAAATATTTTAAATAAAGAGAAAATCCGGTATACATACATATGAATATAATACATACTGGCCAAACTCCATGGAAGCGCTCTTTGTCATAGCTACAACTCCAGCTTTTGATGCACTGTAGTTGCTCTGCCCAATATTTCCACGTTTACCGACAATCGAACTAATATTGATAATCGAGGCATCTTTGGTTGCATTCGCTTCTATCATTGCTTTGACAGCAGTTTGCATAATTAGAAAAGTACCTCTTAAGTTGACATTCATTACATCGTCAAAATTACTGTCACTGAGTTTCACTAAAAAGTTATCTCGTGTAATGCCTGCTGAATTAACAATGATGGTAGGTGGTTTTGAGAATTGCTTTAAGATATCTTTAAATGCTGTCTCAATACTGTTCCGATCAGTGACTTGAACTTCCAATGAAACATGTCCAGCACCTGCAACAACAAATATTAAATCAATAATGCAATAAATAACTATATTAAAATATAGAATTAAAAAAAAAACAGAATTGAGAATTAAAAAATTTTAATGATGCAAATGCAAAAAATTTTGTTAGCTTCAATCTCACACACAAATAAAGTTTATTAATTAATTAATAGAATTATATAGACCTTCCAAAGTGGCTACAGTTTCCTCAGCAGTTTTGACATTTTGATCGGTTGCGATAACGTTAGCACCTTCTCGGGCAAAAACTCGACATACCTCTCTTCCAATGCCGCTTCCAGCACCTATTAACATGATTAAGAAAGTTAAGATTGTGCTATGGATTTCAAAATATATTTTACATATATTATTTACAACATAAAATTTTTTCACATAAACGAATTTTAAATTATACCATAAGATAAGAAAAGAATAATAAAATTGTAAAATGGTTAACATCAAATTTTAGTATTAACTATTATTATAACAAAAGATATTTACGATATTAATATTAAAAATTAGAAAGTTGCAAGAAATGATAACAGTTTCAAATATTATAATATATAAATAATATATAAGTAATATATATATAAGCAATATTTTCATAATTCTTCTAATTAACATAAATTAAATCTTTGTTACATTTTCATACTAATTGAAATTTATCTCAGTAATAAAAAATAATATTCAATATATACGTTTCTTTCAGCAATATCATGTTATATCAAGTATAATGTATATAAGTTCCGGATCATGTAAGATACCTTCGTGCAGAAAATTAAAAGCTTATGTGAAATCACACATATTTATTAATTATATACATGCTTAATGATGCAGTAATTACTAAAGTAGATAGCTTTACTTAACTGTAGGAAAAAAATGCTCAGGATTTTTTTACTCAATTTTTTACAAATAATGCTATATAATTAGTGAACACCATTTAAGATACACATATACCTTATATATTACATTTTACATCTCACGCGTTATTTTTTTAATTAATTTGTACGGACGTACGGCAGATTTAGCGCATGCTCTGTACCTCTTATATATTTCGTCGGTGCAACCAATTTCCTAACCTCTTTTTATGTTTTCTTTCAGCGCTGAATTACTGATATTAGAGTAAAAAATTAGCGGCGATTTTTGTTTCTTTTTAAATTTTATTTTTACATAAAAAGATATCAAACGAGTATAATGTCTAAATATGATATAAGGCGACAGATTTAAACTTAACATTTATATTTTCAGAGATAATTCACATTATCAATGTGTAAACATTCATGATAGAAAACAGCGAAAAAGCAATTCATATGTGTACATATATGTATATACACACATATATATATATATATATATATATGTGTGTATACTTAAAATTTTGCTGAGTAACAGTTATTAAGTGTTAATAACTAAATCTTAATGATATAATAATCTATGTATGATATGATATGTAAATGAAAAGTAAATTAAAATAATTATTTATAGGAAAAATCATTATGATCTAAAATAATTTGATAATCTAATCAAGTGAGTTTAGTATCAAAAAGAATTTTTATCGATCTTCTAATTAAAATTAACATCTAATTACATCCTAATAAAATATTTAAAAAAAAATTGTAATAAAAACTATCAGCCTATTACGAGTATTAAAATTAACTTCACGAACCGGTGACAAATGCCAGTTTTCCAGCTATGAGCTTCGACATATTGTAGCAGGTGTAATTAAAAGGACTCGCGTAATCAAAGCGCTAATCAACACGCACTGTGCGAGTACGTAAGCTGGTTTTAACTCTTCTACCGTTCAGTCGTACGCGACCGCAGCGTTGCAAACGTTGCCCGTTGCGATCCAAATCAATGTCAAGCTACCTCGATTGGATCACAATTGATTACTGGATCGCAACGTCGTGATCGAAGCTAGTTTGTCCAGTTTTGATGTGGATTCAGCCTTACGTAGAGTCGCACACTCGCACTGAGTCACTGACTCGCACAGTATACGCGCGGATGCGCATACCGATTGATACCGATTATCCCGTGTATCACCGAAGAGATTGTTGCAATTTATTTTTTGATCTCCCAGCAATAATGAATGTGTGGAACAATGTCTGTAAAACAGAGGAAGGGTTTCGGTAAGAATTTGATATCTTACGTTATGCGCTTTGTTTACAGAAACTGAACGAACGAAATAAGGTTAGGTTAGGTAATTTGATGAATATTTAGTTTAACTCTCTTGCTGTAGATTTTGATAAAAATGTGCTCAATCATTGGCGTTTTGTGTGTAGAACAAGATTGGAAATGGGTGGAAAAGGAGAGAAGACTCGAAATCGTAAAAAGAATAATAAATGCATTAAAAGTGATATTTTTTTTTTTTTTAGGTTAGGGCGTCACCATAAATCTGCTTTCTATTCCTGTACTGGACTATGTTAGAACCTTCTTTCGCACTTTCGTTAGATGTAAAACATATACATAGTTAATTTTAAGTGCAAAGAGTATACAGTACAAGTTTAGGTATTAAAAAAGAACGGACCGCACATCGACAAATAGGTTCAGTGTGGATAGACTCAGCATATCAGGCAAAGCTTTCACCGCCTCAGAGGGTCTATTTTCGAAAAGTTACACGTACGAAAATGTATAAATATGCTATAGTGTACGTTACGTATGCTATAGATTTCTGTAGTAGGTATTTTCGTACGCGAAATTTTTTAAGAATAAGGCCTGAAATCTTGACACAATTTGCTCAGTCCATCGGTATTATACTTCTGACTGTGGGTTCCACAGTCTGTGCGCGGATGTATATATATATGTTGTAATACTACGTCTCATTGGATTTTCTGCAGAAACGTCCTATGAATTAATGCACTTTTTCGTTTTTCAAATCCTGTTTTATGCATAAAATGCTATCCATTGAACATATTTTCATTAAAATTTAAGATGAGAGTTAGATTGGATATTTACTGAAAATTCTGCTAAAATTTCATAACATAAGTTTCCTTTGCGATGATACTGATTGTAACGTATGCGACATACAAAATCCTTCTGTTACACAATAATTCTACAATAGAATCCAGAAAGAAATGTTTATTTTTAAAATCGATTGGCTGAATAAGCCTTCGAATATAAGGAGGTTTAGAGCCATCAGCTCTCTCTCTTCACTGAGGCAGATTAAGAAGTTATTATCAACTAGGAAACGGTTCAAAAAGTCTGCTTTTAAAATTGAATTGTTCAGCAAAGTAAAATTTCCACTGGAGCAGTTTGCATGGATTAAGCTCCACAAGCAGAATTTTATAAATATGAATTTGTGCTGCGCAAGTGAGAGAGGTGAAGACTTGCATTTTCATATCCATATCTTAGGGAGAAGAAAAATATCTGCGTTTGCAACTACTAAAAAGTTGGGGTTAATAACTCAGTGATGATGAGAAGGATTATCATTGTCATCTGCCGCTATCTGCAACAATGGATCTAGTTTTCTGGCTTGTTGACTGATTTGTGGACAAGAAATAGTGCATTTACAAAATTTCTTGAAATTTTTTCTGGTAAGAATAAATCTTATTCAACTAAATACATTTCTGTGAAAGGAAATGTATAATATTCTTACAGATTTCTATGGAAATCTGATACATGGAAATGGTATATAAAAATCTGTGAATATTCTTGAAATAAGTTCTTGATTTATTGCATTTGTTTCAAATTTCAGAGTTGCTATTCTGCATTTAAGCTTATCGTAAAGAATTGATTTTTGTGATAGGTTGCAGCAGAAATTTGAAGATCATAATTACATTAATTCATAATTACATTTGACTCTCTAATTTGACAAGTATCGCTAAAGAAAATTATTTCTACTATGGCAAGAGTAGTTTGAATTTCATAGAGCAGAGATATTTAACTGATGACCCGTGGATTGATCTCGACCCGCGACGTTTAAGCTTGAGCCGTAAAAAAAAAATGAAAACTGAAATTATTAGCGCATAACACTAAATTGTTTTTTTTTTACTTTATGAATTTTCTTATTGGAGCATTTTTTTCGAATAACAAACTTTACGAGAGAAAATTTTTTTCTGTAAAAAGAGCATCAATGTAATAAGGAAGGCAAAAAATATATGTGTATAAGTCTTACATTTAGCTGCTGCAACTCTCTCTCACAGTATAATCTTAAATTTCACACTTGACTCATTAAAACTTTAATTATGCATTCCTGTTATAGAGTAGAGGCCATGGTACACAGATAAATGTAAGTAGTAAGCAAATCGACCAACACACACAGTCAAGAGCGTGAGGCAATAATATATGAGTAGTGGAAAATCAAACATGTGAATTTGCTTACTGCTCACGTTTTTCTGTGTACCATGGCTTTAAGCGTTAAAGCTAAATTGAATGCAAAATACTGTAGGAGATTGTATCGCCAGAAAATAATTTTGCATAATAATTCTATTGATCAAATGCATTTCAAATTGAATTTTATACTGGCTAAATGTTGTCCTTTTTTTTCAAAATTAGTGAATCATTCGTTGAATTGGATCCGATGTGACATAAATTTGCTCTCTAATTGAAAAATCAAAAGTTCAAGCTGTTTATAAAATAGAAAAACCAAAAGATAAGATTTTATATATCAAAATTATAATAATCTGTTTTGTTTCAGGATAAGACTGGTCAAACGCTTGTTTTTGACATCCTCGATGACAGCATCAGTGCATCAGTGAAAATTCAGCAAAAATTCTGTGATTGTCAACCGCGTGCAAAGAAAATTTAAAACACTTTCAAAATTCCTGTCCTTCGATGGCTTGAATTCACTCTCTGAAAAATGTTCAACATTATGGGGACATTAGTTAATTTAGCTACTCTCGAATATGTTTGCAAAGGAGACAGTCAAAATTTCTTTCTGATCACTTGTAACGTTACTCGAATTGCTTTTGTTAATTTTTAATAACGGAAAGTTACTGGGTCAGCGTATCAAGAATGAATGTAAAAGTAAAATAATTATAAACAAAATACAGTTGTAGAGTAAAAGAGTTAGTAAAAATTAGGAGATTGATAACAAGAGCTTTTGTGGGACTACCACACGCATACATATGTATATGTATATGTACAAATGTGTATGTATACATATATTTTAATATTGTATACTATGTATCAACAAGTATTAATCTCTTGGCTACGCTGTCCCTATAGTTCTCGAGTGTTCTCCAATTGTCAGCCCTGGTAAACGCGACGGGACAAGAGGGTGTCCAGCCAATGGGAGATGAAGTTCTCGTCGTCACGGCAACAGTGCTATAAGCTTCTGACGTCAAAGCGTATCGTAGTGACGTCAGAGAAAGCGCTACGTGAACGGGCAAGTGTGTTTACAGAAAAATTGAACTTGAACCTGCTCGTAAACTTGAGTCTGTAGTGCACTTATCGTTCGGATTGTCGTTGATCTCGAATGAGTGATCGGATGGTCGGGCAGTGGCCAACGATACTGACTTCCTATAAGGTGCAACTGATACCCAAAAGCCATGAAACGCTATGATGATGACGACGTAACGAGAGATCTAAATTTAAATGCTTCATCGAGCGAGTGCGTCGAGATGCACGGCGGAGTGTTATACCCGCGAGGGAACAATACAAGTCGGGGATATGCCGGGGACTGGATTGCAGATCGCTCCGGCGCCGTGAATCTTTAACACGTTTTCCCTCGCTGGACTCGTCTTGAAAATTTCCTAGACGTCGAAGCGAACGAAGCCATGTGTCATCCGATCGATCGGCATGGTTGACACTCGTGGATTCTCGTACCGGCGATTTTCGAGTGATCACCGCGTTCTCCTCGCTCACGTTAATCCCAATATTTTGGACAACGGTGATGGAAAGGGGTGAGAGGGGGTGGACGGAAAGGACGATGGGGAGAGGGAGAAGCGGCATGGGCACGTGAAGAGGTCAAGGTAGGACAGGCAGGAGGGGGGAATCGTTGCGAAGGTCGCCAGCAGCACCGGCGCACCACTGAACTTGTAAAAGCTGCGCTATCTCGCGTGCTCCTGTCAGTTTGATTTTGGAGCTCTTAGACGCCGGACCGACGCGACTTTCGTCGCGCGCACGCGATCCACTCGGGACGCATGACTGTCAAGGGTGAAAGATTACGTCGCTGTTTTAAGCGAATAACAAGAGGTAAGGAAATAATATGATAAAGAAAAAAAACGAGATGTATATGTGTGAAAATTTTATTTTATTTATATATTATATAATAAATGTAAGGAGAGATATCGTGTAATCTAGTTGATGGTTGCGACAGAAAATAGGGTCAGGACTTGTAGATAACAAGTATTGTGCGGGGTACGGTTTATTTGACGCTACAAATGCCTCGAAGCATTTGATTGACGTCGTCAGAAGAAAGAATTTCTACTAAATGATCAATCGAAAAATGCTCCGAAGCATTTGCAGTATCAAACGAACCGTAGCCGGTGGTCACTAAGAGAATGTAATTATATGCATATTGTTACGTGATTGCAGGAATTCGACACAGCAGCAGGTGCAAACTGCGACGATAAATACAGCGAAGAGTGACAACGTATGCATGGCACGACAACAGCTGCATAGCGAAGAGCAAACTAGTACGAGCAAACAAAATAAGAACAAAAACAAGAGGGAATTAGGAAATTAGAGGGACAGTGAACAAAATAGAACGACTTAGAGCTGTTCACAGAGTACGTAAGCGCTTTCAACATCATGACGATGAAACAAGATACTTCTTTCCAAAGGAAGAAAATCCATTCGCAGTGCAAGGCGTTAACTTTCCTAGCGCGCTTCAATGGCAAAAGAAGAAAATTGTCTGGCTACAACAGCAAACCCGGTTGGCCCAAAGGAAGTGGATGATAGATGATGAATCTGACGACGATGATCTGGAAATGGATGATCTAGAGTTGATGTTACCATCAACGTCACAGTCCAAGATGTTGTACGAAGAGTTCCAGGATGCTGACAGTCAACTGATTGGAGAGCCAATTCCATCAACATCAGGCAATTATTTAGCTTCCATTCATCTAGCCTTCGCTGAAGAGGCAGAAGAGGAGGAGGAGGAGGAGGAGGAGGAAGAACCGGAAGAACCGGAAGATGAAGACGAAGAGGACGAAGAACTTACCTTGGAGGAACAAATAGAAAATATGAAGAGACTTATAGAATGCTTTAAGAGAAATGTGGATGGCTGGTTAGCCCTTCTGAAGGAAGAAAAAAAACTTACGAAGGAAGCCAAGGAAGCTTACTTACAGGAATATCAGGAAGGAGCGAATTCATTACATCGATTTCAATGCAAGAAAATTAAACTCGAACTTAAGCGGGATAAAATACAGGAAATGGAGGAATCAAAAAAGAAGGTGGAAGAACCTGAGAAAGAACCGTCTATTATATATGTATGTCTTCCAGAAAATCAACATACTATTATAAGGGCACAGCGAGGAGTTACTTTAAGGGACGCATTGACCATACCTATGCAACGTCGAAACTTGATTCTGGAAAACTGTGCAGCTTTCATTAAGCGCGAGGACGGTTCGATGTTTATGAACACATGTGTTATTTCTTGGGATACAGATACATCGAGTTTGGAAGACAAAGAGGTGTTCGTGAAAACTTTGGAAACAGTTCCTATTCCAGTGTTCCTGCCACATGAGTTCGTGTATAATACATTTTTGTTAGGTCAGTGCTCTGCCTGTAGAAACGCTATCCTCTACGGAATTATTTGTAGGGCATGCAATCGAAAGTATCATACAAGATGTATGAATTTTGCATCTCTGCTTTGCGAACACGTAAAAAGACGAAGACCTTATTACGAGAGAATATTGACTTGCAACGCGGAGACAGGATTGGTCCAGATTCCTCCGAGGCCGGCTCCCACACCTTCGACGTATCCAGCATATTTAAAGAAACAACGCATAAAGGAGGCAATTGCTCGACTAATGGAACCGCCTACACGTGAGAAGAGTGTTCAAGTAAAAAAAAAATATCTACGACGTGAAAGACTTCAAGTATATAAAACCAAGTTCGAGCGTCGCGAAATGGACCGTGTGCATCCGTTAAAAGATGATGCAGAATCTTCCGACAGTCTTTTCAGCGAGGATTCAGCTTACGATAGATTACTTATAGACAAAGACATTATGTATGAAAAGGACATTACAACCGAGAAGGGCGCGTTCGGAACTGTGTATAAAGCTCAGTGTCATGGACCTGTGGCAGTGAAAAGATTTAACACGGAAAATCCCAATGAACTGCAGATCCATATGTTCAAAAACGAGGTGAACGTGATACGGAAACTTTGTCATCCGCATGTGTTGAAATACAGGGGCTGGGTTTCGAAACCTTACTTAGGGCTCGTGACACTCTGGTGCGACGGACAAACTCTGTACGATCGGGTGCATAACGAAGACGTCGATTTACATTTAATTACAATTATGATTATTCTTAAACAAACGTCCGAAGGAATGAGTTACCTGCATTCCCGAAATATTCACCATCGGGACTTGAAGAGTAAAAACATATTCCTTCATGAAGGAATTCAAGTGCAGATCGGCGATTTCGGACTTGCGGTAGTGAAGAAGAAGGAAGAGGAGAAGGACGACGATTATGATTACCGAAGATTCTGCGTGTACGAAGGCTTCGATCCAAAAATAAGGACTTTAAAAGTAGCAACTGAGGATCTGAAGCCTAAAAAGTTTACAATGAGCAAAGAGCAGATAGAGGAAGAGGTGGAGAACAAGTTCGTTGGTACCGTCGGTTGGATAGCACCTGAAGTAATGCGAATGAAAGAACTTTATCCGTATAGCTTTCAATCTGACGTCTATTCGTTTGGTATAGTGATATACGAATTATTGGCCCGTGACTTACCGTTTGGTCGTAACGCCGATAAATTATTTATTGTATATAATGTAGGACGTAGCGGTGCAACGCCTGACGAGACAAAAATACGGGCTGACGTACCTAAAAGGCTCAAAAAACTTTACAATCAGTGCATCGAGTTTGAGAGAGAGAAGCGACCGTTGTTCTCCTATATTACGGAAGAAGTGTACAGTATTTTCAAGGTTACACCGAAAACAACGAGAACGACTTCCTTTCCGTTGCAGATTAGAGAACTACCGGATACTTATATTGAAAAGGATCCCCGTTGTCAGGACTTTATCGACTCTGACCATGACGCTGACTTTGACGCTAAATTTAGAAGGGAAAACCCAGTCCTTAAAATTCCAACTCCAACTGAAGAAGAAAAGGTTCGTAGGCTTAAGATGGCTGTGAGACGGAACCAGGTTCTAGCTAGTAACGTTCGTTTTCTTCAAATCTTCCAAAGAGAGGCCGAGGAATCAATTAGGGGACGTAGACGTAAAGGTCTACTGAATTTTGGATTTTTTAAAAGCAAGAAATAGTCAACTAGCTAGAATTGGAATAAGAATAGATCACATTCGTTAATCGGGTTTACTGTAGAGAGCAAAAATATATCGGATTTATATGTAATGAGTGGAACTGCACCAAGCTTTTCCCTCATCTCGTACGTCTCGTTTCAACAATTGGTTAGTTGGCCGAAAGAGAAAAGTTTATCACAGGTGCGGTTCAAACTCACTATATCTGAAAAGAATACAAGAATTTTGCTCCAATTGTGCAAGCCTTGCTGCGCCTCAGTGATTGGCAGATTGAGGAAAGAGAGAAGTCCAATGCAAATACAGCTCAATCTCATCTTAGAATTAATAAGAGCGGGTAAGCCTTTCGAAGATTCCTTTCTAAAGCAAGTAAAGTACATGTGATCGGAATGCGCAGTCTGTTTTTATTACGGGTCTAGCAACATATAAGTTCGTTTTGTTACTTTATTTTTTTTTTTAAGAAAAAATTAGAAAAAAGTAATCTTTGTAAAGAAGAAATATATATTATGTATGTGTATATATTGACGCGTCTATTGACTTTATATAAGCTCTGCGAACTGAGCAATCTGGACTGAATCGCATCTAAACCAATTATCATTATAAAATCCATAATCAACATAATGAAGAATAAATACGTATGAATTAAGTATTATAGCTCTTGTATGCAGGATGCGAAAATGCTTGTCGCGCGACAGGATTGAAATGATTTTTATATTTACTTTAATTTTATCTCCCTTATATGCTCACATTTCATTCTTCCTTCGTTTGTTAAGGTGCTGTAGTATATATTTACTGTCAAGTAGAATAATTTGATCTGGAAATTTGGAAACAACGATTAATTTCTTCAGCCGCTACTCTGTTCTACTTTCTGACTATAAACGGCCTAAAATAACTGTATTTGATGTATAAGAGTAGCAAGAGTATTAAAATATACGTATTAAAATTTAACAAGATGACTAATTATACGAGTTTCAAAAAAATTTTTATGAAATTTTTATCATGAATAAAATAAATAAAGGAATCTTGCGTCTTCTAAATTTAATTAACTTAAATGTCTCGCCATCGTTTTAAGCCTATGTTTTAAAGTTCATCATTCAAACATGACAACGAGAAAAAATATGTGTGTATGATCTTTTATAATGTGTGTCAATCTATGTTTCATTGTTAAATAATATTTCAAACAAAGCGCGAGCGTGGCGTAACAGACAGCGCACTGGTTTTTGTTATATCAGAAGTCCCGGGTTCTCGATTCTTGGTAGAACCAACAAATTTTCGTACGCTCGCGTCTTCTCTCCGGCAAACCACCGAGAGTATCTCTTTGCCTCGAAAATCTCTCTCAAAAGACAATTGCCGTTCGGAATCGGCTTTAAACTGTAGGTCCCATATGCCTCTGTACAATCAGCGTGCGCACCACAGGCATATGAAAAGAGAGTGGCCAAGGCTCGATTTGGGCTGCAGTGCCATCGAATTCGAATTCGAATATTTTAAATAAAATGTGCGTCCTTTCTTGTATTACAACAGCATTCGAATCTTTATGATGTAAAAACTTATCCAGTGCTGTTGTAACATGTTAATACGAATTTGGAATCGGTTTAGAAAAAAAATATAAAGAATATAATGTAACTATTAGTTACATATAATGTAACTACTATTACATTGAGGAAAATGTTGAAATATCTTGTTGATATAATGAGAACATTTTTCTGCGTGGCAACGGAAAATTGTTCTTACATCATATTTTAAATCTCGCCCATTCCATTAGAAAAGAATAAAAATATAGAAAAAGGATAAAATGTGCGTGTGTATGTGTGTGTATGTGCGTATGTAAGAGAAAGATAAAAAGTGAGAAATATATTTATTTATATACGTGTACACAAAGAAGAACAAAATATATTTAAGAAAAAGCGAAGTAAGACAAATCACAATAAAATAAAAAATGATTCAGTTGCTAGATCTCGTTAGTAGCTTTTATAAAGTTACCTTCTCGTATTTATGTATATGTATGTATTTATATGTATGTATATATGTATGTATGTATGTATGTATGTATATATATATATATATATATATATATATAAATATAAAATATATACATATATATGTAAGAAAAAAAATTAAATTTATTCTGTATTATTTGCAATTATTTCTCTCTATAGCAATTCTATCCACGATTTTTCTTATGCCTTGTCTAATTTAATTGTTTATACAGTAATTTAATGATTAAAAATACACGTGCCAAGTACTCAAGTTAACACATCGTCGATTTACATAAGGTCATTACCCTTTGGGGACCGGCAACGGAGTCGCCGGTTTGAAGTCATTGACAATACCTTTGAAACTTGAAACTCTTGACAATATTAAAAATGTATTTGACAAAAATCAGATAGTTTCCAGAGATATATAATTTGATGTCAATAGTTTTTTGTGGATAAACGCATAAAAGAATTATAAAAGTTAACATCAGTCTATCAAATAAAATTATATATTTGTAAATATATCAATTAATGTAACTTTCTATTTACTTTAGAAAAGAATATTATATAATAAATGAAATCTTGAATTAATAAGGTAGGAATTTTGGGCAATTATTTTCTTTATTATTATATTTCGATTATTCATATTTCGAATTTGATACGCTACCAAATTATAACAGGGAGTGTATCTAAAAATCTTGTCTATCTTCGAAAATTATCATCTCATTTAACTATGTCTCTCCGCAAATCGCTAGAGTGCGGCTGAAATGTAAGTACATTGTGAAGATTAGAATAAAGGAAATTCGTGGTGTATATATATATTCATTTGCGCAATTAAAGATCTATTCTTCAGCTATTTATTTGTATTATTATTTTTATTTATTGTTGCTAAAATTATCCTTTTATCTTTTTTTCTTGGTAGAACTTTTAAAAATAAAATTCTGTATCGAATTCTCTTTGCTAGTGATACGATTTTATTAATTCCGCAATTTTCTAGCCGGTTCTGATCAGTTCTGATGATAAGATCTGCTCGTGGACGTGCTCGCCGGAACACTTGTTGCGCTTATTAGCTAGTTTCAATAGTGGACGCTGTTGCTTCAAAGCTGAGACAACATTAGAGATTGTGAAATAAATCTCATAGGTCGTGCACATATATGAGGCACAGCATTGATTACCTGTTAAATTTGATAGATTCATGCTATGATGCTGCGTAGAATGTTTCTCGATATTACATAAATTATTTATATTTTTCTTATTATTTATCTTACTTCTGCGTTATCTTATATTAAACATATGTATATATATTACACAATATTTTAAATTTATATGGTATATATAATTAAAATATTAATTTTTATACATTATGCATTATATAAATTATTTAAAATACTTATTGAATTAAAACGTACATTTATTAATTGTTTGGAACAATTCATATAATTTGATATTTAGTTTGGAATATTTATAAGATTTTCTATATTTATAAATTTTTCTTATCCCTGCCGCAATAAACATTCCTATGATAAGTCAGACTGTACACGCAACAGAATAACAAATTTATGATTGTTTTCATTGATAAATTATAATATATATATTTTATAGAAAAAAAATCTATTATTTTTTATGAGGGATATAATAATATTTTTTATAACAATAAAATATATATGCTGAAATTTAAAAGCGGCTACCGGCGTTTGCTTTAGTTTAGTACATAGTGAGCATCTCGAAATAGCCTCTTCTAGCCTGGAAGTCAGGACCGATCGTTAGAGCTCCACAGCCCGGAGCGACTTGTTACCCGGGGATTGATACTCATTGTAACGATCTCGTTACCTTTGCCTTCCCTGGATATTATAGAGGTGTAGAAGGATGGAGGCGAAGAAATAAAAAAAAACGTAATTCCGAATTCCGAATGTTTGAAATTTCTTTTTTTTTCATCAATCAATTCTGTTCGTTTGTGATTCTAAAGTATATATATGATATTAATTTTGTTACATGCATTTTTTATAAATCTACAGATAATGACAAATTAACATCACAGTAAAATTAAGAAGTATATTAAATATCTCTAAACGAAAAAATTCCATTATCTATATCTTTAATTGTATCTGTTTTTATTTCTATGTTTATGTTACTGCAATTTATAATTAATATTTTATATTTATATTTATGTACAATTTAATTATTTGGGGTTTATTGTCTGGCTGAAAACGTTCTCGTAAGTAACAACGCCATTTGATTTACAATTTATCCCACAAATTATTTTCGTAAAGCAGTGACATCATAATTTCTTAATACTTCGCCCTTATTCTTTCTTTAAGATCTTGAAATAAATTATTAGCATAACGTAAATTGTAATTATTTTTAATATTGTGATTTTTAGTACTGATACTCAAATACTAAAAATCATTACGCATGCTATTTTATTTTTATAGTATATTGTTCAGTACATTGTGGAATGTACCCTTTACGTGGTAACAGTCATCTGGAGTAATTTTTACATCCCAGCAATGAAAAAATAAAGCTCATCAATCAGTCATTATAACTGATTGCGAGATTCCATCTATCTTTTTTTAAAAAAATATTGAGTAAATTTATATATATAATTTCTCAAATATTAATAAATTGTAAAACAATCAATAACACTATATAAAAAAAATTAATAATAGTGACTTTTAATTGGAACGTATATAAAAAAAAAAACACCCCAGTATCAAGATTAAAAATGAAATCAAAAGTCTATATCAGAAAGAAACGTGAGAGAGGCCACGCCGGCTTTATGGATGGGACCGGCGATCTCTCCCGTACATTAGCACCCCACGTCCACGTTTTCAAAAAAGGAACTACGTACCACGTCTATTTTATAACATTATCGATCAAATCATAGCATTAGAACGTGGTTTGTGTCCATGCTAATCGTGTATTATATATGCCACATTCTTCTTTCTTTTTCGTCTTTCTTTTTCTTTCTATATTTCTCGCAAAACTTCATATTACATAAATTAATTATATATATTTTTTAAATTAAAAATTTTAATACAAGTACATATTAAATATTATATATTAAAGCTGATATCATATAATTAAGTATCGTATAAAGTATAAAGACGTCTTAATATACGATGTAACATATCGTTAGAATAAACAAAAAGAAAGATTTGTCATAATATAGTGAATCGTAATATAGTTTACTGATTAAATATTCTTACACGTTGCGTCGTGTTATCCAAGGGTCAGTCATATATATATTATTATTTAAAATAAGTATTTTAAATTAAAAAAGTAAGAGAATTATTTAGTATTTATTATTTTAAATAGCTTCTTCTAATCTATTTCTTATTTAATATTTTAAATACGTTTTTGAAAAATATATTTTATATTTTTCATTTTAAATAAGTTGTGTGAATATCTTACTGGCCCCTGTGATATTTTATTTTAAATAAGTTTCTGAAATTTATTTTATATTTGTCATTTTAAATAAGTTGTGTCAGTTATTTACCAACCCCTGGACTGTTTTTATTTAAATTATCATACCAAGCGAGAGAAATTGGCTAAGGGTAATTTAAGCGATCAAATTATTTTACAGTTCAGTTAATTACGGAATTGTTTTGCCCATTTTGCGTATTAAATTATCTGTTAGATTACCGTAATGTGTATCAGAAGTTTGTAATAATTAACAGCAAGCAATTACGATTTTTTATCCTAGCCGTGCAACGGAGAAAAAGAGGAACCCATCGATTTCTCTCTCGTTCAAAATTAAATTATATGTAAATAAGTCATGTGTGAGTCGCTGTTTCTACGGTATTGTCGTTATTTCCGGAGAGCACGCAGAACAATATACGATATGCTTAATATCGGTGTAATTATTCCTTCAAAATTCCATACAATTGAATTAACATCGCGGCGAGCGGCGAGGCGCGCAGCGCGCGCATGCGCGTGGGGAGGCCGGGCTCGGCGCGCGGCGGCTCGACGGCCGCGGCGCGCTGACGAGGCGCGGCGCGCTCAGCAGTAGGGAATTGGCGCGGCGTGTGGATGGTATTGCGTGGCGCGCTCCCGGCGCCGCGAACTTTAATTACAAATTATCGAACTCTATATCAATCAAGCATTCGGGGAGTACGCATATTAAATGCGCGTTCGGCAGCACGTACATTTGGCAGTACAAATATGCAGTGAGTGCGCGTTTAGCAATAATATTATTAATACGCATAGTGTAATTAATAATTAGTGCGCGTTCGACAGCGATGGCACGCATATAGTGAGTGCGCGCGTTCGGCTAAAGCCCAATCGAGACGCATCGAATTTTCATCGAGCCTACATCCGTCAGTCAGAGCACAAAGTCCGAGATCATCGAGACGATGGAGATTGATTGCGGTTCGTCGAAGGACAAGCGAGATCCGAGGAAGGACGATCGTGAGCTGAGTACAACGTACGATAGGTAAGTACCAGTTAATAATATACTTATCATAAGAATAGATTTCGCGTTCTGAGATAAATATTATATATAATCTATTCATTTTTATCGACGGGAAGTCGTGTTGCGGGCCATTTGATTTTGTCGCTGCGCGAATCTATTATTCGTGATCGATTATTGTTACAGCAATGTCATAGGTCTATCATAGAATTTTTCAAATATATTGATAATTATAGAATTTACTGGCTTGGATAGAAAATTTCTAGAGAATCGAGAATTTTTATATTACGTGATATTTTAAGATCTTTTATATTGAAAGTTTTTGTTAATTGTTATATTTTTACTTTTTAAACGTGCGTATTATCACATGTATAAAATAGATATAAAGTAAATATTAATAGTAAACATTAAATTGATTCTTTATTA